CAGCATGCAACAACCGCTCCAGGGAATTTGAGTTGTGTGTATGTGTAGCAGTGATGGATTCGACTAACGGAGCTACTTCAAAGGGACCACGTAGTAAACGAAGTACGCCTAAAATATCTTTCCATAAAAGCGTGATCCACCATAATTATTATTTTCGAGGTATTTTTAATGCTTAAGTTATTATGGTAATACATGTCGTTTTGTCAAATGTTTACTCATAACCTTGAAATTAGTACTCAAAGTTGTTTGTACACATTTGTGGACATTGGGTCTGAAACCTTATTTTATTTTTAGTTTTTAATTTGTGGTTTCTCGGTCAGTAATTAAATTAATAACAAAATTTCAGTTATTTTACATTAAGTTTCGCGTCATTATGACTCTAAATCAGAATTAGTTGTGTTTTAAATTTAACAACTTACAAGCGTTCATCCTATCTGAAGCTTTAATTTTATTTTTATACAAATGTAAACGCAAAGGGGTTGAACAATGTAGTGATGGGTTTCTTTTTTTCTAAAAAGGTTGCAAGAAAGCTCTGACTGATAAAGAACTGGCCGAAATCCTTGAACAAAGCGATTTTTGGGCAACCGATGATGAGGAACAGTGCACCCAGAAAATTATGCTTTTCAAAATGTTTCAAATATTAATTCTGATTCCAGCGAAGATGATGAAATTGTTGAAAATATCTTCGAACAAACCGAAATTGACCCAAGTGACTACAGTAATGTTACTCAAATTATGCCAAACTCCCAGATGCAATATGATGATGGGACATCGTCTGATGTAGAATCCCTTCCAGAATTAGCTGGTTCGTCAACTTTCACTAGTACAACAAAAAGAAAGAAACCAAAAAGTGCAACAAAAAACACTAAAAAGAAAAAGAATATTAAGACCTGGTATGACATAACAGAACTGCGACATTGAAATAGATTTTCCAGAGTTTATTCCTCAACAAAGAAATTCTAATGAAAGGGAACTTTGGTCACCAATCGATTATTTTCACCAGTACTATGATACAAACTATTTTAAATTAGTTGCTGAAAATACAATAATCCATTTTCAACAAACTTGCAATAAAGTGTTAGGGGCAAGAATTAGAATGTTTTGGTCCAGATGTTACAAAATACCATTAATAGCCAACGCAATAACCAGAAATCGTTATTTTAAATTAAGGAATTTCCTTCATTTTGTCAACAATTTGGACATAACAGCTGATGCAAAGAATCGTGACAAGCTCTGGAAAATTCGGCCTATTATCGATTACTTTCATAAAGCAATTTTACTGCTTCCGAGAGAGCAGAATGTAAGCATCGATGAACAAATAATACCTTTTTCAGAACATGTTGGTATACGTCAGTACGTTCCACGTAAACCAAACCTGACTGGTTTGAAAAATTATGTGCTAGCGTCTACCAACGGCTTAATTCTCGACTTCGAAATTTATCAAGGAAAAACTACAAGACTTCCACAAGATACAGAAGAAGCAAATCTTAGCGGTGGCGGTAGAGCAGTTTTACGACTTAGTGAAACCTGTCTACCAGGAACCAACATGTACTTTGACGGATATTTTACAAGCGTTAATCTTCTTGAAAAATTAAAAGAAATAGGAATATCTGGTACAGGTACAACAATGCAGAACAGGTTTCCAAACGTTGGGTTGCCAAATGATTATCAAATGAAAAAGTTGGGAAGGGGAACCATCAGATCGAAAGTCAGAGAAGACAAAAAAATAACTCTCATTAGATGGACGGATAATAAAGCCATCAATTGTTCCAACCATCAATTGAACCAATTGTTCAATGCAAAAGATACTCCAGGCCTGAACAAAAATACATAGAGATTCCTCAGCCAGCAGTAGTAAAACATTATAATGTTAACATGGGTGGGGTAGATTTAGCCAATAGGATGATTGCAGCATACAGGAGTTACCACAAAACCAAAAAATTGCCAGTGATTGCAATCGAGTATTTGAGCATTTTATGGACAGTGCAGCTGTGAATTGTTGGCTTCAGAACAGATTAGATTGTAAAGAATTGAATACCCAAAAAAAGAATATTTTGGACTTAGTTGAATTCAAGACAAGAATTGCCGAATGTTTAATAAAAGGTGTTACTTCAGTTGAAACTACATCAGATTCGGAAGATGATGAATTACAACGAAGAGCAAAACAAACGAAGTCTCTTGGGCGACCAGGACATGTTCCACTGCCATCCAAAGAGGTAGCAAAATCAAAAGCTTTACATCTGCCTCAAGGTATTCACATCAAAGATGCCCAAAGATGCAGAAACCCTGGGTGCAATAAACGCACTAGGATACAGTGTACCACCTGTAAAAAAATTTTGTGTGTAGTGAAGGAACGTCATTGTTTCATTGAAATTCACGGTTAGCGATCGATCAATGTAAAAGTTAAACTGTTTTCTTTACAATTTACTAATATCGTTTAAGTTTTTATTATTATTTACTAATAATGTGTTAATTTTCTTTATTTTGTAAAAATAAACCATTTTTTAATGAGCACTATTTTTAATTTGTACACATATGTGTACATTGTAGCTATTGAAACAAGATATGTAAATCNTTAGATTGTAAAGAATTTAATACCCAAAAAAAGAATATTTTGGACTTAGTTGAATTCAAGACAAGAATTGCCGAATGTTTAATAAAAGGTGTTACTTCAGTTGAAACTGCATCAGATTCGGAAGATGATGAATTACAACGAAGAGCAAAACAAAGGAAGTCTGTTGGGCGACCAGGACATGTTCCACTGCCATCCAAAGAGGTAGCAAAATCAAAAGCTTTACATCTGCCTAAAGCTATTGACATCAAAGATGCCCAAAGATGCAGAACCCCTGGGTGTAATAAACGCACTAGGATACAGTGTACCACCTGTAACATTTTTTTGTGTGTAGTGAAGGAACGTCATTGTTTCATTGAATTTCACAGTTAGCGATCGATCAATGTAAAAGTTAAACTGTTTTATTTACAATTTACTAATATCGTTTAAGTTTTTATTATTATTTACTAATAATGTGTTAATTTTCTTTATTTTGTGCCAATAAACCATTTTTTAATGAGCACTATTTTTAATTTGTACACAAATGTGTACATTGGAGCTATTGAAACAAGATATGTAAATCAGACCCAATGTACACATATGTATGTGTACAATTAATATAAGGGTTGCAAGGGGTAAGAGAAAAAAAATCGTTCTAAACTTGACTTTCAGAAGTTCTAATAAATGCCATTAGTCACTTTTTCCGACAATTTTATTGAAATCTGGCTCCTGGGTCTGACGAGGATATTCTTCAGACCACGCAGTCCATGCTTGAAGCACTGTTGAAGGGTTTTGATTCAATCTTCGACCAATTTCACGAAACGGAATACCTGACTCATCCTTCGGCCAAAAATTCGCCCTCTTTTGAAGTCAGACAACTGGTTAAACCGCGGCCTTCTACCAATTCTAGGCATTGTTTATAATCGAAGAACGCTCACTCACCAAATGAAGCGGAGATTGTCTGTTTCAGAGCAACAAATCATATAAAAACTTGCAATTCTTTGTGTATCGATATGAGTTTTTTATCACCGACTTGTTACATGCAGTTGTTTTGTTAAGATTCCAGTTTGGGGACTCATCTTTTTCGATGTTTTTGGCACATAGTCTATGATTTGCCTACTAAGAAAACCATTACGCAAAAAAAGAGCTTACTCGCTAAAGATGATTTTTCAAACAAGCCCCATCTAAAAAGTTTCGTCGCTTCAAAATTCACCACAATGTAGTTTGAGAGACTTCCAAGTCTTGGAGCATGGATTTAGATCATTAATGTAGAGTCTGTCTGGTAGGACAATACTAACGATCAAAAATTGGATAAAAGCACATTTCTAGACAAAACATTTTAAAGAATTCAAAATTAAGCTTAAAATTAGAAATCAGTGAATTTTTAATTTGCATTTCATTTTCAAAATGTTCCTAGATAAACTCGGTTTATAATTAAATTTTGAAGCGCACCTCTGATAAACCATTTTCACGGTAATCGAATAACTATCTAATTTTCATCTCGCGTGGTAATCATCTCCCTAGGGATTTCATCGGGATGCAGCATCCCGGCGACAGGGTCATTATACCATTTAGAGTAAATGGGTAATCACCACGTTGGCTGGGTAATATTCACTTAAGTTGTAGATAAGTGAATGTTTCAATTTATCCACACAGCAAATATTTTGGTAAATCATTTTCAATCTCTTTAATGTTCTTGAAAGCGTTTCTAAAGACAAAGAAATGTACACGTGGTGCGCGCCTCTTTGAATATGGTCAAATCTGCATTTGAATGGTCACAAAGATCCTTTCAACGTTGGTTATTGCTCGTCCGTCCAGACAACGGCAACCGGATGGGTACTTTAAACGGTTAGGGGGACGTATTCTCTAAATTGCCGAAGAGCGTGGAATGTTTTATAGCTGTCAAAATAAATTGAGTGAGAACCGAGAGTAGCGAATATATCCAGAATATTATTCAGAGACGAAATCCAGACGCAAATGGGACTCGTTCTTTTTTCACAACGACTCGATTGAAAACGATCTAAACGATAAAACCTAAAAGCGTTTACTGAAAACTTACTCTCAAACTATAAATATTACATAAAGTATTTTAATGAAATTCTTATTCTAGAAGAAATAATTTTGTATAAATTTGAAAAATTTCAAGTCATTTTATAATTTAAGATTCATTCTAGATGTTTTACCTGGTAAATTTTTCTATAAATTATAAACAGATTTATCGATTTCACGAAGACGTCAATGAGACCACCGAGTTTACTACCATACCATTTTCTGTGGTTAATTTAGACTCGAATAACCCATAGGCCATTAGGCCAACGACCTTACGTAATTCTACACCCATCGCTGGTACATATTTTTACAAAAACCCCGCGATACAGTCACACAAGAAAAGTTTACGCGTTATTTGCTTAATTTTTTTTATTCTTTAGTAAAACTAATGTTATGAAAGAAATTTCAGTTGGGCGACGATACCACCGCAAAATGTAAGCGGTGGAACGAGGAGTAGCACGTTAGGATGTCTTCCCGATCCCGTTTTACCATCGCCGTCAACCCCGAACGCCGTAATCGTTTCTCCAGAAACGTTGAGTCATCATTCATCACCGTCAAAATTGGCTAAAGTTGTTGGACATGTTCATATTCATACTACACCATCGCCAAGGTGAGATTTATTTTATTGCAGAAATAATTTCTCAAACGAGAAAATGAAATATTGAAAGAAACTATTTTTGCAGTAGGAATTTACCTCCTGGACCACTCCCAGTAACTCCTGTGGGATTTTATCATCAGCAACATCAGTTACCGGTCGTCAGGAGACTTTCCCGTGCTGAGAAGCAAATAGAATGGAAGCAATTAGGGGCGTGAGTATCTTCTATGTTAATTGGCCACTTGTACACGTTTTCCCTAAAGCCTTATTAAAAAAAGGACAAAAAAGTTTTAATTGTTAACAGATACTTAAAGTTAAAAGATAGTATAAAAAAGTTAATTCAAATTTTTTATTTTTAAAAATATTGTTCATTGTTATGGTTTCACTTTCAAACCGTCGACTTTCGCTTTCCTCGGGTGTTAAACTCTCGCTTGGAGACGACGTGCATTATTGATTTTTATCTCTGAGCCCCAACAACGCCCGGAGACCCGAAAATTATTAATGCGCAAGCACTATTCCTGAAAACGATATCCGTCTAATCCCTACAAAATACACCCTTGTTTACTGTCAAGTGGGACACTAATTTACAAATTATCCACCTCTTCCTTTTTTTATTTTATTTGGGTTTCGTATTTTTTTAGGGATGCTTTAGCCACCACATTATCCGCTCTTTATGGAAAACTTTTGGTCGTAATGGGAACGGCTTTTCCGATGGCTGAAGTAATTTCTACTTATATCCCTCCGTCGTTTTACGAAATTTATTATCTCTATCTTTATATTGGGAGTATGTTTTTCCTTTTATATATGTATATGGTGTTGTTGAGGGATAAAAGGAGGCGGAAACGAGAAGATGCTGAAAGGATGAGTAAGTTGTATATATAAATAAATTGTAATATTAAATTTATTTTTTCTTTAAACATTATAATAATTATTGAATAAGTAGATCCATTCTTTCTTTAACCAGTGCGGTAATTAAATAAATTCGAAAATTGTGTTACAACTGGTTTATTTTAAGTTAAAGTTCAACCTGACATGTTTCGGTCTTTTAAATGACCATCATCGGAGGATATCGTAAAAAGGATATATGAGGAACAACATACAATAAAGTAGAATAACTGCTAGCAGATGTGTGTGGAAGATGTCTTTGTGGATAGTATCCCCGGTTATCCTGATACCGGATACTCCGATGATGGTCATTTAAAAGACCGAAACATGTCAGGTGGAACTTTAACTTAAAATAAACCAGTTGTAACACAATTTTCGAATTTATTTAATTATAATAATTGAATTGTTTATTTCAAAAAGGGACTAAGTAACATTTTTAATAATTTTGAAATAAGTATATGTTCGTACTATCTTATTGTAGACCTATCGTTGGGTGTAGAAAGGAAGTATGAGTCATAAGTCTCTAACATTTATTGTGGGGAGAGAATATTTCGTTTGCTGTAGAAAGGTACTAAGTATCATTAGATAGTACTTTTCTGCAACAAACTGTCAGTTTGACGGTTAGCAATTACACGATTAAGGCTTGAACACATAAAAGCGATTGCGATTGCAATCTGCCTAACAAAATTATTATTAGCCAATCATATTGCCGAATCATATTTCGTTGCTTGGGTAGGATGGCTCATATGGCAAATCGCAATTATGCTTATATGTGTTCAAGCACTTATCGACTTAACCTACAGTCAAAACGTTTTTAACTATATTAAGTAACAATAACTGGTTTAAGTGGTGATAATGGAAGAAATAGAAAGTGAATACTAAGTGATACAGAATCAGAGTTTCTAAAAAAAGGAAAAGAGGAGTTAACAACTCCGACTGTTATACTCGAAATATTATAAGAGTTAAAGGAAAACGATATTTAAATTACAAGGGAAATGAAGTACAAGAAAAAAAGTGTGGAGAAGCTTGTCAGTAAGTATTACACGAGCTGACGAGTTGTATTTTGTTAACTAAATTAATAGTTTAAGATGTCCAATGAAATGTTTCCAAAAGTTGAACGATGAGAACAAAATGAAAATTTTCAACAAGCCATACGTAAAATTTAATACTAAAGATGAACAAGATATTTACTTACAAGGCCTTTTAGAAATGCATGAAGTTCAAAGGAGATCTAAACCCAAAAACACAATAATGCAGACCCAAAAAAGTTGTTCATTTTGCCACTGCATTCATGTTGAAGGACAAAAACGTAAAGTGTGCCAAATCACCTTTGCTGGTTTACATGGAATTGGATTAAAAAGACTTAAACGTTTAAAATCGCTGCTTCAACAAAATTTAACTCCTCGTGATAAGAGGGGAACTAATATTGAAGTAAATACTATACCGGAGACAGATAGTATTTTGATTCGACAGCACATCCAATCGTTTCCAGTAAAAGAAACACATTACTCAAATAAAGATTGCTATTATCTTGATAGCAGACTGAACTTGAAAATTATGTATAATCTTTTCATAGAAAAAGATAAAAATATTCGTATACCCTATAGTTACTATGTTAAATATTTTCATGAATATTAAAATCATCTACATTTTGGCTGCCTTCAAGTAGATACATGGTGCAAGTATGAAGAACTTAATGTGAAAATAAAAAGTTCAACCTTAGAAAAACATGTCAAGCGTGCAGCAGTTGCTGAATTGATGATACATAAACAACGAGCGATAAAATTTTACACATCGTTGAATAACTCTACTGCTGGGTGCAAAAATCGTGACGATTTAGTGTTAACTTTTCATTTCATGCAAAACGTCCACTTTCCAGAAATACCTATTCAATAAATGTTCTATTTGATTCAGTTATCAGTTAATATATTCAGTATTCATAACTGTAAGAATGGAAAGGGTATTTTTATATACAGGGTATATAACAACTTGGGGATTTCCTCCTCACGACGAATAATAACTAATAGGCGAAAAAATTTGTAGTAAAAGATTTTCTGTTCCATAGATATTTGTGATATTTACTTTCAAAACAAGAATACATAGAACATTTTAAAATAACATCACAGCAAGTGTTCGAAGTTATTTCCCATATTTTTTATTAATTGGGCTCCCCGAATCCACGATCTCCCACAAGCACAGCATAAACTAGGGTGTTGGCAGATTGTCTGGGCAGCAGCATGTACCTGACTTTGCAATATTTGCTCAGTATTAACTTCCGTGGCGTACACTATGCTTTTTAAGTGACCCGAAAAGTAAAAATCAAGAGGATTGAGACAGGGCGAAACTCATTATCTAGATATCGCCGATTGTATCGGATATCTAGGAAATTAAAAAATTTGTATTACCATTTTTTTCATCTATGAGTCATTATTTGTCATGAAGAATAACTCCCCAAGTATCAACCAATCTCCCAAGATGCGTATAGATTGAGAATCAGCCTGTATATCATGAAGGTATCGCTAATAAAGGTTCTAATGAAGTTGCTTCAGTTTTATGGAACTATATTCAAAAAGAAATACCTGACAGTGTCAAAGAATTACGCCTGCACAGTGACAACTGCGCGGGGCAAAACAGGAACCATATGCTGCTACATATGTGTATGGCTTCGGTTGAGATCAACAGATTTCAGAAAATAGAACAGTTTTTCCCCATAAGAAGCCTCTCGTTTCTCCCGAACGATCGCGATTTTGGCATGGTCTTAAGAAGCCTTAAGAAGCACGGTAGAATATATTCTCGCCATACTTACACATAAATTATGATAAGTGCTAACCAGAAATTTATGATAAACGAAATTTCTTCCAAAAACATAATCGATTTCAAAAACTGGTGGCCTAAGTATTACAAAAAAACTGCAAATTCTCTTGAAAACAGAAACCCGAAGTAGTTCGAGATAACAAAAAAACATTTACAATATACCACTTTTATTATTTTCTTCATGAACATAAAACTCCGGGATATGTTGCTGCTTCAGATTGTATAAGTGGGTTAACATGCCACACATTTCACTTACATATGCCAAAAAGATCTAGAACTCTGATCAAAATGCCCACAACTAATGCTTATGCTGATAAAGTTCCAAATTGAAGGGCCATCTAAAGCGAGACCAGGGAAAATGCAACAGAATAAAAAACAATATTGTTTTTTCCAATATTTTCATTTTTTAATAAAAAAATTTGAAATATATTCTTGTATAAACAAAACAATATACAACATACAGTTAATTGCAATAACGTACTAAGTGCAGTTTTTTCATTTAGTTGCTTCTTTATAGGAATTGCAAAAAAAAACAATTTAATTCTGTTATGATAACGTGTATTGGTAGTTATAGTATATGCAATTTGTTATAAAAAATATCGTGAACACTCTTTAAATTGGAAAACATATCTTTTTTTTTTTTTCGTTTATCTCAGAAACATAAAAATGTTACAATAATCCCTTTCTGAAATAAACGATTAAATTATTGCTATTGCTTAATTATAATTAATTACTATTTCAAAAATTTAACTTTATCTGTCGTTTCGAATCGAATGAATTAAAAGAATGAATTTCTTTAATTTGAAGATAACATAAAAACCTCCCTAAACACAATGCCAAAGAAACAAAGAAAATGTGCATGATTTCATGTGAGTTAATAAAACTTATTCGAACGTGGCAGAAATGTCTGTAACTAAAACCACAATATATATAGCCTAGCAGGCTGTTACACAATCCATCTGTTTTTCACCCGATCTTTACAAGCACACTTCGTCTTCTCATTACATTTCCAAAGCTGTTTAAATACATGGAACAGAAAATAAATTTTACTATTATATAGTCTAACTATACTGGTTTTTAGTCCCACTATAACTGGAAAACACAATAGAGCTTGATACAGAACCAGCAGAACACAAACAATGCCAAATCCTAATGATGCTAAGTCTGGTGTTTGTATGTTTTTGTGATTTTTCAGGTTTCAAAAGAGTTAATGATTTACGTAGAGAACTGTAAACAGCAAGCTCTTCGATGTATTAACATATTGGTAAACTTATTTGGCTGACCCAACCCAACCCAACCAACACACCAACTAAATCGTTTTGCTCAAAATGTATGAGTTCCAATAAAATCTGTGAAAATGTAAAACTATCTGATATCACCTTCAAGAGTGCCATTGTTGTGTGATCTGAAATATGATGAATTAGTCAAAACACATCTCAAAAATTGCCATAGTGTATTTCGGCGAATCGTTCAAAATGTCGTTTAATATTCTGTTTCTCTGTCTCTGCTGGCCACACAATAACTCCCCATTTCTTAGGCATATTGCTTACTAGGTGACCTATTACCTACTGTGTCACAATTGGTTCTTCATTCAGTGTACTTTTTCGTTTGGCTTGTCGGGTGCTAGGATATTTTCTTTCCTTTAAAGACTACCAAATCAGTAATTCGCACAACGACGATGAATTCAAAATAATAAGCCCAAACAAACTCAAACTACGAGTCTTTAAGACGATTTGACCAAATTTCAAAGAACGCCGAGCAAACCCAATGATTATGGGAAGAATGGAAGTAATTAATATGGAAACATGGATTAAACACTACAAAGCCCTGACGGAGGTTAGACAAGATTTCTCTAACCAAAAGAGAGAATATGTAACGAGGATAAAGCAGATGAGAGAAAGAGAAGAAATTAATTCCATTGAGAAAGTTGGGGATTCACTATATGTATGTGTTCAGTCCCGTTTTGTTGATTTTGTTTGTTTATCTACACAGAAAGTAGCTACCTCAATTTGTGAAGCGGATCTGTTACGTTTCCAATATTATGTCGAGACTGCTCGTAAATCCAACGGTTTTCGCAAACAACCCTACCAAAAACGTGCACATCTATTCGATTTCAAAAGCTGTATTATATGGATTATACAGGATGATTCTCAACCAATGCGCATAAACTTGGGGACTTATTCCTCATGACAAATAATGAGTAATAGGTGAAAAATATTGTAGCAAAAGTTTTTTAGTGTTCTAGATATCCATGAAATTTACTTTCAAGTCAAGGATACATATAAGATTTTAAAATGACATCAAAGTAAGTGTTCCAAGTTGTTTCCAATATTTTCTATACACAATTGGGCACGCTAAAACCACGATGTCCCACTAGCGCGGCCTAAACCGCGGGTGTTGGCGGATTGTCTCGGCAGCAGTTTGTACCTGATTTCGCAATCCTTGCTTAGTATTAACTTCCTCAGTATTCACTTTCTCAGCTGCAATGTTAAATGCATGTGTTAATAACTGTATGCCATCCTCGGTATCAGCCAAGAGGACGGCATCATCTGCATAGCACTCAATCCTGATTTTGTAATCATTCATAGTCTAACCATAGTTTACATTACATACTTTGTAATGTTTGCTCTGTTCTAATTCTTTTATTGTTACTTTGTCGAACGTTTTGGTTAGATCAACGTAACAGAGGAAGGTTGCCTGACGTTTTTTCGCGAGAGTTCTATCTGATTGTTTGATACATATCCCTCAACACTGTGTGACCCGTACGTGTCATTCTTCATCTCGTTACTAAATTTCGCCATGCATCATTTGTGTAGGCAACTCTTGCAATCAGAAGGACGTGAGCAAACGATACACTCAAATGTATGTAAACATTTTTTTGCAGAAGATGAATAAGTATGGTGGTACTAGTTCTAAACAGATGAGATCGTTTGGTGTTGCTGTGTAAGATGATTTTTGGAAGCAAATACTCTACGCTTTGAAGATGATATGATAGCGCATCCTAAACCAGGGTGTTGGTGGATTGTCGGCAGCAGTTTGTATCTGATTTCACAATCCTTGCTCAGTATTAACTTCGAGAGACTGAGATTGGGGTCAGGCGATCGAGATGGCCTATGAACTACCTCGACCTGTCCATCTTCCGGGAAGTACCTTAACTACATGTCGCCGGATATCTATAAAACTAAAAATCTTTTACTACAATTGTTTTCACCTATTACGCATTATTTGTCTCGAGGAATAAACCCCCAAGTTTATGCGTATAGGTTGAGAATCACCCTGTATATGTTCGTTTAGTCTAGTAATTCATTCTATACATTATAGAACGCAATAAGTCTAACTGTTTCCATTTGATTGCCTATTTTGGAAGCTATCTGAGCTATTAACTTATAATATTCCATACACAATATTTTGGGAATAATTTCGTAGGTCCACCGAGATTAATTTTTCAAGAGCAAAAACTTTCCTATAGTACAATTGTAGTGCAGCTAGTGGTACAATATAGTGCTATACTATGTGTGGTACACCATGAAGGAATCGAGGATAGTGATATTGAGTGATCAGATTCAAGGTAGACGTCGTTAGAGCATGACATAAATTCAGATTTTGAGAAAGAAGACGTTGGCACTTCTAAGGACGATATGGGCAAAGATCACGTAACAAAATTGAGCAAAACTTGTCCAATAAAATTGGAAGACAAAATATCTTACAAATGTGGAACAACAGAAAGATGGGCATTGAGGCCATATTTCCTACAATGTCAATAAATCGTTTACGTTTTTTGATATGCGTTGTGACAATGCGAGACAGCAATGAAGGAAAGTCAATAAGTTAGCAGCTGTCAGAGATATTTTTAAAACAATAGTTGGTCACATTTCACCCTCAAAATATACAATATACGTCGGAAAACTGGAGTAATTCAAATATAGTAAAACGAATAGCAAAACCTCATGAAGACACTGAAAGGAATATTATATATGGATGAATAACTGGTTTACCAGTACTCGTTTAGCCATGGACTTATTGAAAAATCTTATTACAGTAGTAATTATACGTAGAACTATACGTCGGGAGCAAATCGATCTCTCCAAAATGTTGACTTCGAGAACCAAGTTCTAAAACAATTTGAAAATACATCTGTATGGAGGTTATTGAAGGAATACCAGAAGTACCTATCCGTTTCATATTCAAAATGTGGAAACGTTAATTCCAGCTGTTTATCCCAACAGAGTTCAATTTGCTGGATGGTACTTGAATAAAATCCTCATGTTGTTCAAAGGTCACATCATTCATGAAACTTTTCTATTAATATTAAGATAGCGATACCATGCTTACTTACTGCACGGTTAGCTGATCGTGTGTATAGCGTTTTTCAAGAACATATTCTACCAGAATTGCTTGAAAATATCCCACTTAATATTCGTAGATATTATTGTTTTCGAGCATGATGATGCAGTTTGAATTAAATTGTCGAAACTATCTAAATACACAACTTCCAAATAAATGTATCGGAAGAGGGGGCGATGTCTTGGCCTGCACGTCATCAGATATGATTCCAATTGATTGTTGGATTTGAGGTCATATCATTAAACTCATGTGTGGTATCAATGGAACAGTAATAAAAGCACAACAGTATTTTCGGTTTGAACTCAATAACTTTGTCAAATAGTGTCTTGGAAATGTTCAAAATGTTTGATTAAAATACGAGGCGATTCCATTAACATTTGAAATACAAATATATGCTTTGTATTCTTTTTTTCTATTCTATCCTATTATTATTATTATGTTGTACTCAGTATTATTATAACGTTACTGTAAAAGCCCGAACTACGGTAAATCTTAGGTTTAACTAGTAAATCTTAAGATTTACCAACATGATTTGGTAAATGTGAGGATTTTTTAAACAAGAGATAATTTTTCTGGCTTTTACCAATAGAGTTTGATACATGCAAAGTTTTACCAATAACAGTTCGTAAATGTTGGTTTTGAGAATAAAACAATAAGTATATTTCTTAATCATTTATCAAATCTTTACATTACTTAAATTATTATCTATCATTTGGTATTTCTTTTAACATCTTCAAAATACTTTTTAAAAGTAAAAATAAATGTAATGCTTACGTTGGCTAAGCTTACATATCAGTATTATTCTTATTATTTCGTATTTTAAATAAACTAAAAGATGGCAAATAATAAATTGACACATATTAACAGTAAAAAAAATTTTACTTGTTACAACACGGAGAGCTATTGTGGCATTTAGAATGACAGAGTAGTCCTGGTGACTTGCAAGCGCATTTTTTGAGGCAGTTACTCCAAGTCAGTGGCAATTTTCCGACAACTTCTCGAAGACTCACTTCTTTATCTTTAACAACTTCTTCTATCTCTATAAAGTCTTCAGAGCATGAGGTAAACTGATTCTTAGACTAAAGCTGCTTTAGTACTCCAATTTTCGTACCCAGTTGATAAAGCTCGTTGTCTTTTACATCTACCACAACTGCAATAATGCTTTTTAGGAAATTTTATCTCTGTCAATGTCAGGTACTTTCAGTCTTACATTTTGGCCAACTTTCACATTTGGATATTTGTTTGCAGACGTTGCTTTAATTTTTTCAGTTTTTTTTCCAAATTGAATTTTGCATTTTTTCTTATTGTTAGGATAGATTCTTTCTTTTTCGATATTGATAATTCAGTTATAAAAACTTCTTGACATTGAGTTGCATTTTCTGAGTCTAAATGTCCTTTTCAGTGTTACCTTCCTTATTCTGTTCAATAGCATTTTCAACGTTAATATTTTCTTTATTTTTTTGCGAATGCAATAGATTTTCTAAATCTTCTTTAGATCTTACTAGTTCAAGCATGTCTCTAGGTATTGTTGACGTTGTAATGCAACTTTTTATAAAACTACCAAACATTGCTTCGTAAGGGAAAAAATTTATTCCCTCGTGATATGCTCTATTTTTCATTGCCATAATAGCCTCAACTGTTACATTTTTGTTGTTCTGTTCAACAGCAACATGCGATTCTTCGAGAATGTTGAATAAGTCGTCGTAGCAATCGTAATACCTGATTTCTTTATTCCCTTCCTTCATCGGTGCAATTAACTTTTTTTCGCTGCGTATAGTCAAAATAACGTAACGGTTTAATCGCCTATAATGTACGGCTTCCTTCTTTTTCACGTTCCTTGCGGATTTTACGTCTTCTAAACACTTTGCGTATTTGTCCTTGTCGATATAACAGTTATTATCGTTCTTGCTTGCTACAAGCTCGTCCATTATTTTATAAAATCTCTATTTCACACTGAATTTGATTGATGAGTTACTTTCAGACAGTGAAGACACTCACAAGAAATCAAGTGTCCATTTTTCGACATTTACCGTGTCTCTGCCGTAAAACCTCAGATTTACCGGATGGTGGTAAAAGTTCGAAATGAACGATATTCACAGAACATTTCGGACTTTTACCATTCAGAGTTGGTAAATGTTAAGTTTCACTGGAAAATCTTAAGATTTACCGTATTTCGGGCTTTTACAGTAACATACATATCTTTTATAGTCAAATATTTTAACATTTAAAGAAAACAAGTTTTATTTGTACCTAATAATATTTGTTTAGAAGAGTGTCAAAAAGAAGAGAGTATATCCGGTGAAGAAAGTGATAGAGAAACAAGTGAAAACACCACAAGTAGTTCTATATTTCGTCCAAGGAGAAGCTCTTTACAAGCTATTCCTGCAAAACAAAGTTATGGAAGTTTTTATTTAAGAATGGGAGCCGTCGGTTAGNTATCGTAAATATATCGGTAGTTCTCAACAATTTTAATTAATTTTCCATCGAATTCACTCATTTTGTTGGCACAGAAATAAACAACAGTTGAGGTTAGGATATAACGTGCTATTAACACCGGCCGATCATTGGATACAGCTGATTGAGGTCGTCTTGCGCATGTGTGACGCTGTAAATTTACAAAAGTTGACCAACTTTATGTTTACAGCTAAATCTTACAGCTAAATTTTTAAATTTAAATTTACAGCTAAATCGTCTGTATAAACCCGGCTTTACACAATCCATCTGTTTTTCAACCGATCTTTACAAGCACACTTCGTCTTCTCATTAGATTTCCAAAACCGTTTAAATACATGGAACAGAAAATGAATTTTACTATTATATAGTGTACCCATACTGGTTTTTAGTTCCAATATAAATGGAAAACACAATAGAGCTTGATACAGAATCTGCAAAACACAAACAATGCCAAATCCTAATGATGCTAAGTCTGATCAAGATAAATCTTTGCGGAAAACTGCTTTTTACTAAAAGTGAACGTTTGTTGTGATTTTAGTTAATGATTTACATAAACAACAGTAAACAGCAAGATCTCTGATGTATCAACATGTGTGTAGCATTTTTCGGGAACATACTCTACCAGAATTGCTTGAAAATATCCCATATTCGTAGTTATTATTGTTTTCGAGCATGATGATGCACTTTGAATTAAAATGTCGAAACTATCTAAATGCACAACTTCCAAATAGATGTACAAAAGAGGGGGCGATGTCTTGGCCTGCACGTCATCAGATATGACTCCAGTTGATTTTTGGATTTGAGGTCATATCATTTAAATTAAATAATTATTATTATTATATTATATTAATTATTATATTAAATTGACACATATTAATAGTAAAAAAAATGTTACTTGTTACAACACGGAGAGCTATTTTGGCATTTAGAATTACAAAGTAGTCCTGGTGACTTGCAAGCGCATTTCTTTGATAAGCATTTTTTGAGACAGTTACTCCAAGTCAGAGGCAATTTTCCGACAACTTCTCAAAGACTCACTTCTTTATCTTTAACAACTTCTTCTATTTCTATAAAGTCTTCAGAGCATGAGGTAAACTGATTCTTAGTATAAAGCTGCTTTAGTACTCCAATTTTCATACCTAGTTGATAAAGCTCGTTGTCTTTTACATCTACCACAACTGCAATAACTAGAGACTGCACAACTGACATACTAGTTCAAGCATGTCTCTAGGTATTGCTGACGTTGTAATATCCCTTTTTATGGAACTACCAAACATTGCTTCGTAAGGGAAAAAATTTATTCCCTCGTGATATGCTCTATTTTTCATTGCCTGGATGAATTTCAAACCGTCAGAGAGTTTGAAGATAGAAGAACTTTGTTAACTGGTTTGTTTCCATCCACGTGCCCAACATATTTTCGATATCTGGATTGGCTCGCTCTACTGGTCCTTGACTCTGACTGTATCTGGGCTTCCTATGTACTATTTTAACGTTCGACCACGTAAAGCATAAACTTTCAATAAGTTGGTTACAACATTCTCGACCATTATCGGAATGAAGGATGTTTGGATGCAACTTCCGCTGCGCGTTTAGATTGAAGTGCACGAAGAATCACAAATTTTGTAAGATGGTCTTGGTAAACTAAAATGAATTTATAATTTCCATCAAAATTAGTTTGTAGATCTATTAGATATACTTGACAACGTGAGTTCATTTCACTGATGTTCATAAAGTATAGGCTTGATGACAATGCCTTTTTTCGAAGTCTTCTGTTCTTTTGACAAGGTTGGCATAGCTTCAAATATGTCATAATAGCCTCATCTGTTACATTTCTGTTGTTCTGTTCAACAGCAACATGCGATTCTTCGAGAATGTTGAATAAGTCGTCGTAACAAACGTAATACTTGATTCCCTTCCTTCATCGGTGCAATTAACTTTTTTTCGCTGCGTATAGTCAAAATAACATAACGCTTTAATCGCCGTATTTGTCCTTGTCGATATAATAGTTATTATCGTTCTTGCTTGCTACAAGCTCGTCCATTATTTTATAAAATCTCTTTTTCACGCTGATTTTGATTGATAAGTTCCTTTCAGACACTGAAGACACTCACAAGAATTCAAGTGTCTATTTCTCTGCCGTAAAACCTAAGATTTATCGGATCGTGGTAAAAGTTCGAAATGAACGATATTCACAGAACATTTCGGACTTTTACCATTCAGAGTTGGAAAATGTTAGGTTTCACTGGAAAATCTTAGGATTACCGTACTTCGGGCTTTTACAGTATCATACATATTTTTTATAGTCAAATATTTTAACATTTAAAGAAAACAAGTTTTATTTGTACCTAATAATATTTGTTTAGAAGAGTGTCAAAAAGAAGAGAGTATATCCGGTGAAGAAAGTGATAGAGAAACAAGTGAAAACACCACAAGTAGTTCTATATTTCGTCCAAGGAGAAGCTCTTTACAAGCTATTCCTGCAAAACAAAGTTATGGAAGTTTTTATTTAAGAATGGGAGCCGTCGGTTAGTACAATTTTAATTAATAGTTCGAATTTTAATAAAAAAAACATTTATTTTCAGCATTTGGAATTGGAAGCATGATTTACTCAGGTTTAGAATTCGGTCAATATTTCGAACAAGAAAGAAACACCAAGTGCCATAACATTTTCTTAGCATTAACACCAGCTACAAGAATGGCATTTATTTTTATTCAAATGTATTTTATATTTTTGAATAACGAACAAATGCGAGTTTATAAGCATAAAATAGCCGCAAGATTCGGTTTAATGCATATGATTGGTACGAATTTATCGGTTTGGTTGTTAGTTCTCGTCCAAGAAACAAAACACGAAATTTTAACGTTTTATAATCCAGAAAATAATTCGTTAAGGATTTCTCATCGAATTCAATACAAAAGTAATCTTTTAGGACTTCCAGTTTTAACAGCTGAGCATCCAGCTGAAGCTCATGGTCATCACCATATTGTAGCAAGAGGGTTAAAAGGACCTCATCATTTATACGAATGTCGTAGAACAAATATAATTGGTAGTTTAGTTCAAGATGCATCTCCATTTTTATTTCCATGTACAATCGAGTATAGTTTAATTTGTGCTGCTATTTTATACGTTATGTGGAGAAATATTTCTAAATTACCAGCCCCTACTAATATTTTAAAAGGCTCTAAAACTGAGTTTAATTATAAAAAACATCCTCATCATTATTCAGTTGATTGCGCAAGAGCTCATAAAGGTCTCTTCGTTGGAATATTACTTTTAGTTTTAACAATAATATCATTAATTTTATTTTTTGTGTTAATTTCAAAACCAGAATTTGTTGGTTTGGCTGTTATAGAAGTGAACATTTGTGAATTAGCTTTATATGGGTTAACTACTTTAGCAACAATAATTGGAATGTGGCAAGTTCGTCAATTAAAATATGACGGTTCAAGAAATCTTCAGTTAGATAATATTTTATTGATAGGTGCTCAAACTGGAATGTTTATTTATTCAACGTTTACAATAATCGGTGGTCAATTTACAATTGAAAGAAATACAGTTTTAGTTTTAGCGACTGCATTAGCTTCGCTTTTACAAACTTCTTGTCAAACTATGTTTGTTTTGGATGCTTCCAGAAGATCTTGTGCTACTCCGGAACAAATTCGGAGGAAGCCTGGAAGACAAATTGTAACATTTTTATTGGTAACCAATTTAGCGATGTGGGCGATTAATACTTTGGAAAAATCTAGGGCTGAATCACATCCGATTCAGCTACATTTTTACGGTCTTTGGGCTTGGACGATTATAACACACGTTAGTATGCCTTTGGCGATTTTTTACCGATTTCATTCGACTGTTTGTTTATGCGAAATATGGAAAAGAGCTTACAAAATGAAGCCAACTTATATGTAAATTTGGTGTTTTTTTAATTTATTTAATGATAGGAAATATTTTTTTTGTGATAATTTTTAAAATAATAATTTTTGAAATAATTATTTATAAAGTAATAATCATCCACAACGTAAACTAACAAAATAGGTAAAAAACATATCTGAGTAAGGTTCAAAAGATTAATAACCATCCATTTTTTATAAAAAGAAATATCGATTTTTCGAAGCAATAATTTTATAAAACTATTTAATCTTATTCTACAAATTAACCCTTTAACGTACAAACATTTTTATTTAGAGAGATGGGGGAAGGGTATTTAAACAATGATGTTCATGAAGATTTAGGTTGGCTTTGAGAGGCAAAGACCATATAGAGAGATACATGAGAAATTATTATTGTATTATGTTAGGAAAGATCACGAAAAGCGAAACTAAAGAATGTTATATTCTAAACGAACTTACAAGATGTCGAGGACAACATGAACAGCAATTACCTTTGTGTTGTAATGTTCAAGCCAAAATTAACTTTGAGAGATGAGAAAAATAACATTATCAGTAATTACATACGATTTTAAAACGTGTCAGAGACGTTGAGATATATCCGGAAAGCATTAGTTGTAGCTACAGACGACGTTGCTAAATGTTTGAGGCGGTGTTGAGGGCTGCCTGGAACTATGATGAGATCTGTTAGGAACGATGTTGAGAAAGATGTCAGAGAATCATGAAGTACGTTTTTGTTTTTTCGAATTGTTCCAACAATGGTTATCCTCTGCTAGTGGCAAACCAGTTATCCATGATCACATTTCTTCCTGTTCAACCGAGTGTATCTACCATCCGTTTAACAACACTTTGTAGGGAATAGGTCATTTCATAAGGACCAAGTGGTTGGCCAAATAAATTTCCATGTTTGAAATATATAATGTTTTGGAATCTGCCAATGCAAATATCTTTATGCCGTATTTAGACGGCTTGTTGGGCAAATATTGCCTAAAAGGACACCTTCCTCTAAATGCCGGGAGCATGTCATCAATTGTGATATACTCAAAGTTAGTGTAGTTGTTCTTACAATTAGAAACAAACTGATCAAAGAAATTTCTGAATGGTAAAGCGTAAACACTTCAATAGAAATCTAAATCGTTACAAACATCGTCGCACGAAAAATTTCTACACCGGTCCCATCAGTTTGCCATTACTCTATTTGCTCAATAAACCTCTACAAGATATGGGAGACCTATGACAGCTTTGATTTCTGGTTCACTAGTTCTTTGGTTTTGAAAGGTTCTTAAAAATATAAAACGCCAAAAAACGCCATTGTAAATGCTATTTAAATTTTTTATTTATTAACTGCAAATGTATGCTATGCCATTTGTTTTTATTAAGTTTTGAAAATTACAGGATCCAAGTGGCGACCATTTTTTTCGATACACATTCGAAGCTGATATCTGAAAGTTTCCATCATTCGAGCAGTAATTTAAGGCGATATTCCTGTAATTTCTTGGCGTATTGCTGCTTTCAATTCGTCAATGGTTCGGAGATGGTTGAAAAACCTTCGCTTTCAGGTAGCCCTAAAGGAAAAAGTCGCATGGGGCAAGATCGGGCAAACGCGCAGGCCACCCAACGTCTCCACGTAACGAGATTACGTGTCCTGGAAACATTTCGCTTAAAACGTCCATTGTCCTTCTTGCCATATGAGCCATAGCTCCATCCTCTTGAATCCACACATCTGGATGTTCAAGTTCTCTAAGTTTTGGTTCTAAAAAATTGCGTAGCATGTTGACATATAGATCGGCAGTAACGGTAATCGTTACGCCACCTTCTTCAAAAAAATAGGGACCCCATACGCCAAAAGATCCAACAGCACACCAAACGGTAACACGTAGGCTGTGAAGTGGCCTTTCATGGAGCTGCCGCGGATTTTGTGGTGCCCAGTAGCGAAAATTCTCCTTATTCACACAGCCAGACAAATGGAAATGAGCTTCGTCACTCGTTATCAAAACTCGTGGTGGGACGTTTTGAAGAATATCGTTGGAACATGCTCTGAGATTTTCCCAGTCCCGTTCACTAAGTTCTTGCACAATCATAATTTTGTATGGGTGGAATTTCAGATCGGCGTGTAAAATTCTTCTCACAGAACGATCTGACGAACGCAAAGCAGAGGCATGTTTAGCAGCTGAACGGGTAGGAAATCGTCCCAGTGCTTCTCTTACAGCTGCAACATTTTCAGGTGTCCGAGCACTTCTGGGTCTACCAGTTTATTTTTTTAAGGCTGAACCTGTGGCTCTTAAATTTGAAACCCACAACAGTATTGTTATGCGATTCGGAACCGGATCATGTCTACGAAGCTCGAAGTGAGTACGAAAAGTTCTATGCGTCGTAATCACTGATTCGTTTTTTTTAAATAAATGTTTCGATAATGAAGGCACGATGCTCGCCCGTCCAATTCATGACTGTTCATGACAACATGACAAATGGCAAGGCGTGAACTACCAACTAAATACGCTAACCTCCCCCATTTTTCAGTGATTCGGGCACAGCGGCGTTGCAAAATGTGGGAGATCATTTTGCCGGACCCTGTAGTTTTTTTGTTGGCCTTGTACGTTAGTATATCTTACAATCATTTCTATTAGATCAGTTGTAAATAAGCTTGACTAACATTAAAGTTCAGACAACATTTTTTGAACAGCTTTTTGGTCCGGGAAAGTGACGTACAATATTATGCTTTCGGGTCCGTACATTTGTTTTGTTTACAGCAACAGTTTACAACCACTTTTTGTCTTTTCCAATGTAATACTTATCCAAGTTAAGTGGTCTACCAATGTTGAGTGATCTACCACTGCTGCTTATAGATTCATCATCTGTGTTATTACTTGAAATATCTTCCAGTAACTCATTTTTATCTTCGCTCTCTTTATTAGTAATTTCATTTTCGTTTTCTACTTCCGGGTCGGTTTCTTCTTCATCTTTACTTTCGCTGCTCTCTAATACACCTTCTTCCCAAATGCCATTATTTCTTTTCTGTTCCAACTCGCGTAGCACTTCTTCCATATACGCCTCTACAACTTTTGGTTGTGTTTCGTATGCCATTATCATACAATACTTCTGAAGAAATGCTTACGTAATTACAAAAATCATTGTTTTCTAAAATAAATTAAACCTCTGAGGTGTACTAAACCCCACCGCACTAACGGAGGGTTAACCCATAACTTCTGCAATGTTATAGATACTAGCACACATTAGTGTTTGCACTAATTTCCTTACCCATAATGTTCAATATTAGCATAATTGATGCAAAACCCATCGTTGTAAATGTTAATGGAGATATTCGTGGCTATATCTAGTATTGCTTTACCACTGAATACATCTAGGAGTTAATGCTAAAACGGTGGCATTGAAAGATTGGCTCATCACTGTTTTGAGTGTAATCGCCTACACACCGAGTGGGACGATCGTCACTGCTCAGGTCTTCATATACTAATTTGATGTCCTCGCATACTTGAAAATTGAGTGGTTGCTTATAAGAAAAATGTTCCAGGGTATAAGTAGCATTCGCTTTTTACCACGAATCCTCTCTTTTTGGGCATCTATTGTATTGAAACTTGGCATACGTTGACAGTTTGTGATACAGTGTAGCCTTTATTTCATTCCTCAGATTTTCAATCTCATATATCACCTTCCCAGTCAACTGTCTTTTTCCACCAAGACCTTTTGCTTCTGCACACGATCAATGCATTTTATATATTTCGTTTTTCTGGCCGATCTATAATGATTTGCTCTACACTCGTTCTCATGAGTTTCTGCCCAACTGCATATTTTTCGATATATGTTATTTTGTTCCAGTACTGGCAAGGCTAGTGATATTTCGATTTTAGTACATAATTCACAATTTTGTCGACGTTGCATCCAATTACAGTAACTAAGCAACACAAGGATGAAATACAAGCTTTAGCCAAGTCCTATCGCCTGATACAATAATACTGTTTATTTTTCCTTTAGGACTTATAAGGGTTTTCCTTCTTTTAAAGCATTTAAAATACTATTTTGGCAAACCGCTTCAGTAGCTATCGTGAAATGATTACAAAATAAGATGTGGCAAATCCTTGTAGAGTGATGACAACATTTTATGATACCATCTAATCCAACTCCTAGCAATCGTATTGCGAGCACATTCGATAAATTTCACGTCAGCCGAAAGCTTCGTCGACTTCTACATCATGCAGCTTTCCATAACGTTGAAGTTTCTTTGTAGATGTGCTAACTACCAAATTTTCTGAAGCCTCCAATCTCGTAACGATTGTTTTCTTCCCCTCACAATCATTATACACTACTTTATCTCCACTTATTGCACAATTTAATTGATTAAAGCGATAGTAAAACCTATATGAACTGAAAAATACGTTTTGAACGTTTAATACCTTTAATACCACCTATGGAATAGACACTAATTCTCGATAATAAAAACGCTCGTTGATTGCGCTTACATAGAGCATTGAAAGAGCTTCTAGAGTAAGATGCTCAGCGCTAATGAAAATACCCGAATGCAACCAGGCCTCTGTAAAGTACAAAACATCGTGATCTGTATTTAATAAACTATGATATATTTCAGTTAACTTAGTTCTTTGGTCACAAAAATGTTTAGAATAAATTAACAAGATCGGCCAGATTCCGTCCACATCGGCGGCGCATTTAATTATCAAAAGGCGAATGTGTTCACTCTAGCTCGCAAAAATCTGACAATTGCGTTACAATTGGTATAAAAGCCTGGCATCGCATTTAAGTATCAAGAGGTGTGTATCTTCAGGTTAGCTCATAAAGATTTGGCAATTGCGAGAACATTCGTAATTGTAAAGTTTGTCGCGATATTCTTCGCCCTCTCAAAAACATCCTTGCCAATATTTAGACTTATTGCCAACATTGTGTTCAGATACATCCCCAACATTGTGGATGCTTGTGTCTAAATATTTAAATTGCTACCAAATTCGAATATAAATGTGTTTACAAAATTGTACCAGCGCTATTTGGAATCTGTTTAACCAAACGGCTAGGATCGGGTCGAAAAACAGTAACCCAACGAAGAAATGATCTTGCTCTCCTCACGTTTATGAATTTTGGTGAAATAACTGTTCTAGTTTGCTGTAAAATCTACTACAAAAAGCTAGCGGTGCGAATGGATTGTCTTATAAAAGATTGGCTACAGAGCTAAAATTGCAACGTAGGCACCGAATTTGACATTGACTTCAAATCACTAAGAATGGCATATTAATAATTGAAGCGAGGTATAGACTTCAGATCAGTTGCATTTTTGTCCCAAAGGAACAAACGAACGTCGACGAACAAAGATATGTTCTACTTTGTTAATGACACAGTTATGTTAGTTATAACATAGTTAATAAAGCATGTATAAAAATACATACTACGACTTTATTACTTAAAAACGACTTGCAACGTACTCATTTTTATGGTATAAATTTTGAGGATGGCCAGATGCATTATCATTTACAACATACATTTTATTGCTTTGTAGCCACCAGCTGATTGATGAGCTTTTGTCAAATAAGTTATTTCTGGATTTTTTCCAAAATAACTCTGTTGCGCCGCATCTGATTTGGAAAATGTTTGTTCACCTTTCAGTTTTCCGTTAAGAATGCCTTCGTATAAATCTTCGCAACCAACCATGGCTCACGGAAAAGGATGGCTTCTTTTCAGCTAAAGAAATAGATAGCGACTGATCCTGAATTTTTTTCAGAAAGTTTCACAGTCTTCTTTGTAATTGAACTGTATCCATATTCCATTGTAACATCTCTTATGTACACAGTTGTGCACATACTCATACAAGATCCTGCTGCTACAGTTTTTCCAATAGTTTCTTCATTTTTTCTTACTATATTTATTGTATTCGAAAATTTTATTAGCAACAATTTGTACACTATGAAGATTTCACCTTGAATGAGTGAATTCCATTTCTCCATCAATATTACCAAATAACAATGACTGAAAAAAGTGGAAATCTTTGTGGTCTTTGTGATCCACAACTAATTATTGTGTCAAGTAAGTTAATTTCTTTTGTTTGTTTTAAACTTTTGGTAAAATTATTTGTGTGAACGTTAAAGGGTTAAACATTTTTTTACAAAACTCTGTATACAATACATTTACGATTTCTTGGCTATGATGTATGTAGAATCGAGTACAAATTTTTACACGGAAATCTAATGTAATAAATTAGATTTTAAACGAAATGAATGTGAAAAAAATAGCGAATTAAAATTAAGACTGGTTTTTTAATAAATAATCAAATCGGAATCACTTGGTATGTTATATCAAAATACCTAGAAAGAAAGAAAGGAAACAAAAAGAATTAGGCAGTTGGATAACCTGTCTTCCTAATCAAAAAAATCATGAAATTTTTTTACAATTTTATAAAAATAATCAACTTTAATCTTACTAGTCAAAATAGCTCACAATCACAAATTCTTTTTGCTCACTTTCGTCGGTTTTATTAGTCATACTTACAAAGATGAAATACTGGGGGAACAATATTTCGTAGAATTCCGTAAAAAATACAATAGAAGGAAAAAGAATTAGTACTAAAATAGTTACTATTTTTATCACTTTTATACAAAAATAAAAACGAATTGTTTATGATCCGTTACACATGATATTTATTATATTTAATTAATTAAAGAAAAAAACTAAAAATATCTTAGTTGTAGCAGAATACAGTACTGAATACAACTCGTTTTTATTTGGTGCTGTATATTTTAGCAATAGACTTAATTGTGAGAAAAATATTTATTAAAAAAATTTGTTAGATAGCAATAGAGAAATAAGTTATTTCTTTGGTGTTAAAAAAAAGATTTACGTGCCATATTAAAATAGTAATAGTAATATTTATGAATATATACAGGGTGATTCACCGCATATAATACAAAAAATAAAATTAAAACGTATAAATAGTTTCGTTGTAAATATATATTTAATATTTACCAACCTCCTTTTTGTAACTAATCAATAATTTGTTATCCGCTTAGAATTTTATTGTATATAAACACATACAATTTTTATTTATTTGTTGCATAGAGATTTTTGTTGCGTAGTGTACGTGTACCTACCTGTCAATAAGTATTATTAATATTATTATAATTAAATATTATGATCAATGGAAAATAAAATAATCTCTTTAAAAAAAAATCAGAGTACCATTTATTGAAAGAAACGTATCCTAAGTAAAAAAAATCGTACGATTCAAAAATCAAATTAAAAAAAAACAAATATTTAGTAACAAAAAAAATATTAAAAAAATATTAATCATAATTGATTTCTTAATAAATAGCTAGTTAATAATCTTTTTTATAATAGAAAGATAAATAAACAACAGAAAAAAAAACAATGTGTAGACAGCCTTCGTTCATCAGTATTTGGTTAATTTACAATTCGCATTATTTATTTATCTAATCAGGGTAAAATCATAAATGTATTAAATCGATCATCTTTTTGGAGTTGCTGCGACGTTTGGAGGAGGTTTCTTTCCACCGATGGTTTTTCTTAAAAGAATATTCGATACTTTAACAGACGGTGAAAATAAATGTAACGGATATACGCTTTGTATTGTTACTGGATTTGCTTCATTTGCGCTTATTATAAAAATTGGAAAGGTTGTTGAAAATATACACGCGCTAAAAATAAAAATAATTAGTTTTCAATTGAAGAAAAAATACAGGGCGTTTCTGTGACAATATAATATAACGTTCAAATTTATCAAAATTTATGTAGACAAATTTAGAATATTTTATTGTAACAAATTTCAAAAGTTTGGTTTCAACTTAAAGCTCCTGAGCTGCAGAATTTTTAAATTGAATAAGGAATACGAAAAGAAACGTGTGAATTGAGGAGATGTAAGGGTCTTTAATCACAGTGGAAAGCATGTTATAAAATATTAATTACAGATTCGTTGTAACAGCCATTTATGATTTTACCGTATTTTCCGCTAATACTACTGTACGTATGGTCAAATTCTACCAAGGTTTCATTTAAAACAGTATTTAATTGTAAGTTTAGCATACATAAGCTAATATATAATAGTTTTTGCTACGTACACATGCGGTAACTTTCAAAGTCACCGACGAAATTCCACGGAACTAGGAAAACAGTTCGACGACTGTGCAAAATTGCAAGACGATTTAAACAGGTTACATGAATATTGTTTAAGAAATAACTTGTTCTTAAACCTTGATAAATGCAGCAAAATTACATTTACTCGCAAACGCTATCCTGTCGTTTTTGATTACTCCCTTGGCTCAACTATCCTCAAACAATCCGAATGCGTGAGAGACCTTGTAGTTATTTTTGACTCTAAACTCTTTTTCGGCTCATTTTGACTATATTGTAAACAAGGCTTCTCGCATGCTCGGATTTATATGTCGCATATCCCGTCCTTTTTCTGATCTGTCCTGTATTCGTTCACTATATTCTGCCTTTGATTCCTCTTTCCTTAATTAAGCATCTGCCGTTTGGAACCCTTAATATCATACCTACATCGACCGCTTGGAACAAGTCCAGAAGCGGTTTGCTCGGTATTTGTCGCATAAATTTTGCTTACCGTATTGTAATTATGCGCAGCGATGCACAGTTTTTGGTCTCATGCCGCTCTCTTCCAAACGTAAAATTAATGACTTAACCCTACTTCATAAAGTGTGCAATGGCCTTATTGACTGCTTCGCAATCTTGTCAGAGTTAAAATTTAAAATTTCTGTTCGACCGTCTCGCGACTTGGTTTATTTTCGGTGCCACGTACTAATACGAACGCTTTTTCAAATGCCGCGGTTCCACGCCTTATGTACACGTTTAATTGCTATTGCTCAGGTCTCGGTATGTTCAACACCTCTACCGCGACATTCAAGAAAAACATTCCCACTTGCATTGTCAGTAGCATTGCGTGCGTTGTCCGCCAGCTGAACTAGTCGTTGATATTATTATTAATATCATTAAACATATTGTCATTTTGTTTTTGTTATTACTTTATTTTTTGTTAATTTTTTCCCTTTTGCTGGTTTTTGTTTACTTTTATATACATATACAGGGTGTCTCAGCGAGACCGTTCATGAGACGTTTCTGGGGTTCTGGCGAAAATAAAAATTTGAGAATTCAGACTTAAGTATTATCAATTACGATCTCTTCGACTAAAATATTTTCAGATTTCTTGCACTTCTGGTTATACCGGAAGTCGCCACCTACTTTATTTTTCTAAATGGAACACCATGTATATTTTTACATATTTGGATTTGTCTGTTTTCAGGGTTTATAAATAAGTTTACTTTTTGCAATTTGATTCGGCCGTTCTCGAGTTATTCGAACTTTTCTAGAAAAATCTGTTCCAGCAGACATTTGTTCAAAAAATCAGAGAACACTCGATTCTTTTTATATCAATTTAGGATTGAGAACATGCTTAAGCAACATGATGGAATATGTTTTGGTGCCGAGAACGGCTGTCTAGATCGTTTGGTCACTTTAGTATGACACGTTAACTTTTCGAAATTTGGAAGTACCATAACTTAATTTTTTTAAATGGCACCCCCCATATTTTATTACTTACTCGTTTTCTGTGTCTCATTCTACATCTTTTATATCCGATATGTCCCATACCTAACATTAATAGTTTGGGAGATAATTAGAGTTTTTTGAAAAATGCACACATATCATATGGATATTTATTTAGCCTAGTGTGCCATGAAAAACAAGCCTTCTTAATGAGTTCTTGTCAAAAACTCACTTGTTTACGTCACTTGATGCATGTGAGCTAATAATTATCTGTGAGGTCCCTTAATATTAGTACTGAAAAGAGTTAAAATCGATAACAATAACGAAAGTACTATTTACACAAATCAAGAAATTCTTAATTTATTTTTTATGNACAAATTTAGAATATTTTATTGTAACAAATTTCAAAAGTTTGGTTTCAACTTAAAGCTCCTGAGCTGCAGAATTTTTAAATTGAATAAGGAATACGAAAAAAAAAAAAACCTGTGAATTGAGGAGATGTAAGGGTCTTTAATCACAGTGGCAAGCATGTTACAAAATATTAATTACAGATTTGTTGTTCCGCTAATGTACGTATGGTCAAATTGTATCAAGGTTTCATTTAAAACAGTATTAAATTGTGAGTTTAGCATACATAAGCTAATATATATATTATATACATAAGCTAATATAATAGTTTTTGCTACGTACACATGCGGTAACTTTCAAAGTCACCGACGAAATTCCACGGAACTAGTAAAACAGTGTTATCGTGATTATTTTGACTTCTTTGTGGCTTATTATGATAAGGATTGGATATCTGATATATGCTATACGACATGCATAAAGAATCTTACAGGTTGGGCAAAAAGTTTCTGTACTAATGGATCATCAAATCGTCTGTTATGCACGGATGATATTATACTCTGTTTTTAAACCAGGAGAAGTATTTTAAATTTGTCACCAGATTGACCTTGCACGTGATTGGTTGAATGCGAGGAAGGTTCACACACAGGCAATTTTGAATTTTGATTTTGAATTTGAAAGTTAGGTTATTGATAATTCGACAGTTTTGTGTCATTGTTGTAAATTTTGTTTAAACCCTTTTGCGTCTTCAATTTAATTGAGTGAAATCTGTTCTTTTTAGAACAAGGTATGGGGCGTGACCCTAATAGTCGTTCACAACAAATTTCACAATAATAAGTAAATAAATAAATAATAATTATTAATTTAAATTTACCGCCAAAATATCTAGTGATATTTTCTGGTGATTTTTCCTAGTGTAAATCTGACTTTCGCGTTTACTTCTCTTGGTTTAAAAACAGAGTATAGTATCGTGACTTTTCAAATTTTACCAACATATGAAATCAACGTGCATTCTTCCCTGAATCCATACAGTGTTTAGTTAGCTGCTATTTTCTTATTGGGTTGAAAAGATAGTGGTATTTCAGCCTTATTTTTTTTAATGTACCGACGTATGTACGTCAAATTATTTTTCCATAACAGATCAACTACTTGTATGGAAGAATACCAATTGTCAGCTGTAATATTACGATTGCTGTTAAAAATTGGTTTCGCTAAACGTAACACAGCTTGAGTAGGGTTTAGTAACCTCTTCTCTTCACCATTGAGGCCAAAACTATCAGAATCTTTTCCCCTATAGATGTATGCGTTATATACAGTGTGTCCCCGGATTGTGTCCCCGTAAGGTATAATTGACGATAAATTTTTGAATTCAAATTCCATCTTTTGTCATTGAAGTCTGGATGTCATAAAACAATTAATAAAATTCGGTATATCGCTATAATTTAACATAGCAAACATTTTATCTTAATCAACTTTTGTTGTACATTGCTCAGAAAGACCACCTTACCTGTAGCGGTTAACAAACTTCTTGCGTTAACTTTGGTACTTTGAGGACATTTGACATAAAACTTGGTTATATTTCGTTTTATGACATCCAGACATTAATTGCAAAAGATGGAATTTGAATTCAAAAATTTATCGTAAATTATACCTTACGGGGACACAATCCGGGGACACACTGTAGATAACTGTTTCGTGCGTCGGTAAGGCACTGTATTTTGAGGCCGCACTTTGCCGGTTTATTAGGTATGTACGCTTTGAAGCGGCACGTTCCTTGGAAGCTTACAAGCATTTCATCTATAGTAACAGACTGTCCAAGTCCATAAATATTTTGACAATTTTCTACAAATGTGTTAAAAATAAATGAAATTGCTGCAGCCGGATCGTTCTTCTTCCGCTCTTCCCTGTCCTGAGAATTGTCGAATCGTATAGCCGTCAAAAGAACAGCAAATCTCTTCTTACTCATGACTGCTCTAAATATTTCTCTTCCACTTCCGTCCGTTGCGAATATACGGTCTATTATTTTCATGACTCGAATTGAATATCGCCGTATATACTAGAAGCCCTAAAAATGCCTTCAGCTCAGTGATATCTGCGTCTGTTACATGATGTCTGGATTGTACAGAATATCTCTCACGAATTGAACTTAGTTTTTGGTTGGTGTGCTGTAGAATATGTTGAAACATTTTGTTATCGAAAAGGAAATTGCAGATTGGCAATGGATTCGCAGCATCACCGAGGTTACGTGCTTTTGATTTTAGAATCGGAATTTTTGTTATAATATGCTTTCGGGTCCGAGATGAAGGCAAAACTTCCGACGTACACCATCCATACTGATTTTTGCTATATAAATACTTTTTGTTCACATTATCTACAATATTTACACTTTCATCTACGAAGTCCTCGCTAGCAGAAGTTCTGAATCGCTGTCGTGCTCTAATTCAATTTGGTTGTCTTCCGATAAGTTATCTATGTCACTGTCGCCGCTGTCTGAAGTATTTTCGTACCATTTTAAAAGATCTTTATCGAAATCAGGATCATCACAAACTACTCGTTTTGAAGACCATATTTCGGTAAATCTACCACTAACAAAAAAGTAACACATATGGACCGACGTAGTCTGAGAGACTATTATCGATACCTTACCTGTTAAGTTAAGGGTTAAGTCTAAAATCAATTGTAGACAACATGTTTTTTTTGCTGGTCGCTCGGTTGAGTGTAACTTGCTTGAATATACTCTGTATATCTTATCTTTTCTGGATGATTCTTGTCAAGTTGATTCAGTTTATACGGA